TTTTTGGCATGTCTATTAGAAATCGATGGATTTATTTGTTGCCAGAAATTTTTCTAATTTCTGGACCAATTCTACTTCTCATTGGCTTTCTTATGTATGCGAAATATGTAATCGAAGATATCGACGCACCACAGACAGTAGGTCTGGGGTATAGTATGATATTGATGGTCGTCGCTTGTATTCTTGGTTTTCTTACAGCCATATACTTTGCATTTGTTGCTGGATCTATTGATCATCATAAGGATCATCATCATCATCATCATCATCATGCTCGTACTTCTCCGTATGCTCTTCCTCGAGACACTACCGCATTTTGATCATTTAGAAGAACTTTATTTACTATGACAATAAACTTATGCAAAAATTTTATTTTTGCAATATATTCTATTAGAATATATTTAATGCAAAAATATTGATAAAACAGCTTTATACAAATTAACTAGCTATATATTTGTAATTCATTTGACAAATGATATTTTGCTTATTTCTTTTTTCTTTCTTTTTATTGTTAATTTTTTAAAAAACTGATATGGTCACAAGGCTTTGAAGTGACTTCCACTTTTGTATTTCAAGTTCGTAATAAACAAAAGTATTTATAAATTAATAACATAGTGAGTAAATAATGATCAAATTTTTTAATAATTTAATGGAGATGTCAATTAATAATGAAGTAGAAAAGTTTGACAGCAACTTTGTCAAATCAATAAACTTGTCTAGTGTTCATTAGCACAAAAATTGACTCGAGATAATTATAAAAACTTGATCACAATGATCTATCTCGTTTATCAACAAGTACAAAACAAAATCAATCACTTATTCTCTTACTAACCGTTCATTTTGAATAAGCTGAAAAATTCATTTATAAGAATAAGAAATTGATTGGAAGATTTTGCTAAAGTTGACCAGATTTATGTGAGGGATGTTGAGCTTTTTTTTGGAAATGAATGAGCAAAAACATCAGTAAAACGTCGAAACTCTTCTGGAGAAAAACGAAAATTTTTAAAGACTGGTGGAGTAACCTTCTCGATTGTCCTCTGCTCGGGACTAGGAAGCTGCAGGTCTACATTTTAATAGACCCAGATCCAGCAGACCCATATCGTAACCCGATCGGATCCATAGCCAAGTTTTTTCCACTAATATCTGGTAACTTTTATGTATATGAGCAAGTGAAGGATCAAGGTTTTAACTATTTAATGGTTACTCTTAGAAAAAAGTCAACTTTCATTGTTAAAAAAAAGGAAATTGAATAATTACTTGATAAAACAATTCATCAAACCAACGGTAACATCAAAGTTATCAGCTGTATGGAATAGTCTTAATTATATTTATAGAAACAGCATCAAGCAAGAATATGTTCTACACAGTACAAATAAATATTTACTTATTTATAAAACATATTCTAGTAATAATTCAATATCTAAGCATATTTGTAGTTGTCAAAATAAAAAAAAACATCGACAATTTCCAATGCTCAAACAAGTATCAATCAGTTTTATACATCTTCAAAAAAATGAATCATCTATTTCAGATTGGATTAAGCAGAAAATTAAAGTTGCTTGTATTGAATTTGTAGCACTTGACTGTCGACTATTCAAAAACGATAAATGATATCGGTTTTAAAAATCTTCCACAAAAAAAAAACATTTAATACCAATCAATACTAATCTATAGAGATCTCCGGCTTCACATTTTTGTATACCGGACTCGTTAATCCCGAGTCGACACCCTTAATAAACTCTATAAGTTGTAAATACCAAATGACGCAGGTAGTATTGACTCATGCTACAAAACAAATACCTGCTCTACTGAATATTTTTATCATATATTAATTCACTGTTTTATCAACGATAGAAATGATTTATCGCATATACATATATGATCATTATATCTATGACAGATGGTTCAATAAAATGTTTCCTTTTTTTTTCTTATCTCATGTAATTGTATTAAATGTTTTGGGTATTTTTTTTTTGTTATGGCTTTTTATTAATAATAAAAATTATCATAGATGTGAACATTCTGCTATATTAACAATGTATTATTATCATAAATTCGCGATCATAGGTTTCATTATTGGCCTTTTTGCAATTATTTTAGGTATTATTGCACTTACAACATCAAATTGGATAAGTATTAATCATAATCAATTATCAGAGCCCATTATTTATGATCTCTTTCAACAATGTGATAGAAATGAAACAAACAAATGTACAGATTTTGAGTCTTTTCGAATACCTCAATATTTTGAAATTATTGGCTATATTATATTAGTTATCGGTGTTTTTGTCGGTGTTCTATGTACTGAATTTGTTAATAAACGTAATATTCATATTATTTCACCTATTATTCTTATTATTGGTATAATAATGATTTTTCTTGGTTTTATTTTTTATATTAAATATGTAATTGAAATAAATAGTACATTAACAATTACAAAATTAGATTTGGGTTATAGTATGATATTAATGATTTCGACTTGTATTATTGGATGTATCTTGACAGCTTATTTTTCATTTACTGCTGGCTATACTCATCGACATATTCTTGCTACAGTCAATATTTATTAAAAAATACTTGGTAATTGAAGAGAAAAATTAATCAAATAATGAATAGAAATCATAAAACTTAATATATACATATACATGTATTTTAAGTATTGTTTTCAAATAAAATTAAGAGATAAATTTAAAATTTTATTTTTCATAATTATTTTTGCAAGATAAGAAATCTTAAACAATTGATTTCGATATTTCAAACATTCAAATTAATAAAATTTATTTCTTATTCTTAAATTATTCATAATAATGACGTTTAGTTTTTAATTAATACAATAATCATTCTTGTTTCGTAGGTTTTTGATATTATAGATCTTGCTATACCAGCTTCAATTAATGCACAAATTATCTTCAATAGATAATATACTATTTTAACATCTCTTTCAACGATGTACTACAATTAACGTTCATGACATTGTAATATCCATTTCCATCGACATACTTATATTGAAAACAGCTCAAGGTTTACAAATAGCTATTGTTATTACAGTAGTAATAGTAGATAAAACAATTGCTATCATTTTCAAACGATAATATTCATTTAATTGTATTGCTATTAACGATGATAGATTCTATTTTAATTCTAATTGCATTTTTCAGTCATACATCCAAATCTATTAATAGAATTTGAACAATGGACTATATCAATGAACTGTATAGAAGAATGTCTGCCATTGACAACCAAATGAAGAATGATCTAATGAACTGTTTGGTTTAATAAGTGATTAAAATGAAAGTGAAAAACAACTCAAACTCGAACTCATTCGGTTTGACTTTTTTGATTTACTCTAGCACGGAGTCTAACAACATTGCCGGAATCTTTTCTTTGACAATCAGATTATGAATTCGTCATAGTTTATTTTTTATATTAATATAAAAAAAAAATTTATTATAGAATTTGCAGTATGAACAAGACATTTGTTAACAACATTCTTCCATTATACACCAAATACAGACACCAGATAAACAGCCATAAAGTCTATATTATTAAAATAAATAGTTTAGTAAATATACAAGAATAAAAAAACAAAGAAAAACTGTAACTTACAAGTGAAGATATGAACCACCTCCTCCGCGAATACCTGTAGGGAGTAATCGTATATTAGATTGGTTGTATGATGATGAGACTATAATGAAATACGAATAGCAAAAAAAGAACATATGACATTAAAATCAAACAAACCTTTATAACCAGAAGGTTGTGTTAGTACTACTTTCTTATTCTCGTTATCCATTGAAATATTCTATAATGAAATCTCTTTTCTTTAAGCAAATTCACATGGCATAGAAAAAAAATATTAGTAGGATAATGAAATCACATATGTTATCATAGGCAATATATTCTCATCTTTGCTATTAGTATCATGATTAAAATTAAACAAAAAACAATACCTTTTTTCTTTTATAATAATTAAAACACAATATATAAATTATTTTTCTAAAAAAATCAAATACTGATCCATCACAAATTCACTGTTGAAGAAAAACAAAAATTTCCTTTCTTCTTGAAGACAAAAAAAAATAATGGACTATTGAAAAAAATGCTCATAGATATAAGAATTATTACTTATCGATGACTAAGAAAAAAAAATACACACACACATGTTGTTGCGTTCAAAAAAAAAAAATAATAATAAAAAAAACATTATTCTTTATTTTATTTCCGTCGTTGTTGCGGGTATATTTGTATCATAACATGCACCAATATACAATTTTGCAATATCACAGACAAGTGATTTATCAGGTACTTTTTGATTAGTACCATAAATTACAGCCTAATATGAAAAAAAAATTAATATGTTACAAATTTGAAATGATCAATAGATTCTTACTGTAGGTGTATCACTCATATTCTTTGTTTTTAAAATCTCAGCAACAGATTGTCGTGTATCTTTGAGAAGTTTTTCTACAACACCTGGTTGTGTATGAAGTTGCGTAACAGCAATATGAAGACTAAAATTTAAACATCATAATTAATTGTTTCAAAAAAAATTTAAAAAAAACAAAGAACAAATTATCTATATACCCTGGTGGATTTTGTAAACCATTTAAATGCCATCCTTTAGCACGTAATCCATCAAGTACATAATAAATATTAAATTTTTCTGAACCAACTGATACAACACTTACATCAGGATTATGTAAAAGATATAAACCATCAATTTTACTCCAACTATATAACGAACAAAAAAAACAAATATGAAACTATCAAAAAAAAAATCCTCTATCTAGTTTTACCCATCAGCAATATCTCGTGTTGCTTGAATAATTTTTCGTGTTTCTTCAACATAACCTTCAAGTCCATAATACATAAGTGTAGCCCAACAACAAGCTATTATATATCCTGAACGACTACCAGCAATTGATGGTGATGCATAAATACCACCTGGCCAATCAGCTAATGCATAAAATTGATGTGAACGAATTTCAGGAGTTCGATAAAGAATAACTGAAGCACCTTTTGGTGTATAACCATACTAAAATACAAATAAATCATTATCTAGATTAATAATCAATTAAAATGTAATACTTTATGTGTATCACAACTAATACTCATTACACCGGGTACACGAAAATCAAATGGTTTTAATGGAAAACCAGCTTGACCCATAAAAGCAATAAGAAAACCACCTAAACAACCATCAACATGTAATGGAATGCCATATTCAAGTGCAAGCTAGAGAAATTTATCAATAAGTTTTCAGTTAGTAAACAAAACAAAAAAAAAATCTAAATTTTTCTACATTAGAAATATCTTCAATTGGATCAATAGTACCATGAGGAAAATTTGGTGCAGAAGCAACAAGCTAAAAGAATATTTTCAAATTAAAATTCAATTACTTATTCTTATAGAAATTTTTACCATGCAAGTATTCTTTGTTATTGCTCGACGCATGTTTTTAACATCAATTTCAAGTGTTTTAGGATCAACTGGAATACGTTTTATTCTCATTTTAAAATAAGCAGAAGCCTAAAATAAGAATTATATATATTATATAAAGCGTGTTCGATAATAATTGAGGATGAATTATCAATATACTTTTTCTTGACGTAGAAAGCTGAAATTTTTATCACATATATATCTAACCAAGATCTTTAATTTTTCAAAGTTTCAGTTTCCTCGCTAGAATTAGTGATGAGGTGTTTCGTGAGTTTCATTTCTCTGGTCATTCATTGCATTCAGACTTTCTGAATATTTATTAGATATATATATATGTATATATATTGTAGGTATCATCTCAGAATATCACTGATAGTCACATTACAGAATTTCGGTGAAGAACATACTGACCGACAACGCGGTTAAGGATTGGTTTAACTATACTGGAATGCACGTATGTCTAAAATTTTTTAGATTTAATAGCAAATTTTCTCTTGAATGTCAACCAGGTAAGAAAATAGAAAAAATTGTAAATGGTTTGTATTGAATTTAAATCGTCTGAAAACAATATGGAATATTGATCGCATGGTTCATAGCATAATTATATAATGAATGTATAGAATCAATAGATAGCGATGTTAAATTTGTTGATAATGGAAGTTCATACATATTGAGTTTTGTTATAATTTACATTATTGAAAAAAATTTATCCTGTAAAATTTCTTTCCGTGTGATATTTATAAATATCACTGATCCAGAAATAAAGATGTAATAAAAATCAAGTATAACAATTCATATATTTCAGCAGTAGTTTTATCTAGAGAGCTGAAACTTTGCAACATTAACGATCTTGGTTAGATGTATATATATGATAAAAATTTGAGCCTTCTATATCAAGAAAAAATGTGTTAACAATTTATGCTCAGTTGTTATGAGATATCCATTATATATCAATAAAATTCGTTCATACTTTATGAAAAGCTGGATGAGCTGTTATAGGCATAACACTAGAAAAGAAAAATACATTAGTTATTACCATTTATTCTACTAATGGATGTTTATTTATCAGGTCAAATATCATAATTTCATTTATTCTTTCAACAAATGAGAATAATGAAAAAAAAAGAAAATTGCCCTATTATTTCTATTGCTTCAGTTTACATATCGAAATGATGGAAGTCTTATGTTATTAAGAAATAATTGATATATCTTGAATGATTATTTTGATATCGATTTTTAAAATTTTCTCAATCTAAACAAAGACGAAGAATAAAAGCCTAACAAATGCAATCAATATTGACTTTTTGTTTTTATAAGTATGCACAATATTTTTCTCACAAAAATCCATTGAAATATAACTCATTTCTATCGGAAAATGTAAGTGCCTCTTTCTCTTACATATATATATATATATATATATATATATATAATAATATAAATAACCTTGGAAACAAATGGAGCATATTTTTTTTGTTCGAGATAGAAAATGACTTCATTTTTAGAAAGTCAAAAAAAGAAAAAAAAACTTTTACAATTTAACATTCGATAGTATAACATCTTCATTTTCATTGATAACAGTTTCTTATTAAATTCAATCCCTCGAGAATCTGTTCTATCATTCCTTTATATTCAACGAGATAATTGATAGTAGTACATCGTCATACTTGGACACTATTTCTAAGGTCTCTTCTTCTCGCTTAGTAAAATTAAAGTAATTGTTTCTTTTTTTGCTTGTCTTATAGTAGTAACCGGCAGACACAAATAGTCGATACAAACATTTAACAACACACATGCACATCTGATGTTGACAAAGCCCAATAACCATTTATGTCCATACGTAGAAGCGTGAGTCTGATTGATTGAAGCAAGTTCGATATACGTAACCTCATCCGTCTTTTTCAAGGTATTCTTTTCGCTGTATACGCTCTCCCCTTAGCAAGATATATATACATAAGGAAAAGAAAGATTCAATAAAAAACAGAGAGAATAGATGTTAAATATTCTCTCTTACCATAGAAAGAGAAGGAGAGAAAGAGAGACAGAAGGCGAAGCCACTTCATGACTGCCTGACTACATAGCATTGTTGAGTGTCCGGTCGTTCTCACTAGGGAGTCCTCTTTCGTTTGTGGTA